CACTGCTCTCTGCCTGTCTCCTTCTCCCTCTGTTTCTCTCTCTGTCTGCACTGCTCTCTGCCTGTCTCCTTCTCCCTCTGTTTCTCTCTCTGTCTCCACTTCTCTCTGCCTGTCTCCTTCTCCCTCTGCCCTCTGCACTGCTCTCTGCCTGTCTCCTTCTCCCTCTGCCCTCTGTCTGTCTGTCTCTCTGAACCCCAAGCCCTTTCTGGTTTGGTGGCCCGGTCAGAGTGTTCTTTCTGAGACTCCTCCCACATTTCTGTTTCCTTTCAACTTCTGTTGCAGGGACTTCTGGTACCTGTAGTCCCCCCTCACCTGGCAGGCCTACAGGTTGTAAAATACTGTAAATAGTTGCTTAAAACACTACAAATTTCAGGAGATGTGTTGGGTGAGGGGCTTGTTGTGGTGAGGTGATTTGGGGGAGGGGCAGAGACGGCAAAACTGAGCAAAATGGGGAATAATTAATTTTGCCCCACTCATAAACAAACACTTGTGTAAATAGTGCTTTCTCTTAGAAAAACTCTTTGTTGTATATTGTTAAATTTAAAAGCATTGGTATTGCCAGAAACTGAAGATGGAGCAATCGTTCATTTAGTTATTTAAATCTGGCAAGAAGCTGGTAAAGGAGAAGTTCAGACTGCTTTGAAATATGAGTGTCAGTGGGGTCTGATTCCAGTCTGTTAAACATAGCCTACACTCACAGAAAACAGAACTAATCAAGTTGAAAGTAAAGTCAGTACTATGCTGTGCATTAAAGTCTGGGATGACCCAGACTGCACTGTCACTGTCGGTGGAAGGCTTGTTATAATCTGTTAATAACTTATCAAGACCACTGTAAAGTCTGGAGTGAATCAGACTGCTCTGTCACTGTCAGTGGGAGTCTGATTATAAGCTGTAACAACTTCCAAGCTCACAGTAAATCAGCACAGTCCTCTGCAGTCAAGTCTGGAGTGACTCAGACTGCCCTGTCCTTGGCAGTTGGAGTTTGGTTATAATCTGTTAATAACTAATCAAGATCAAGTAAAGTCTGGAGTGATTCAGACTGGTCTGTCTCTGTCAGTGGACGTTTGGTTATAATCTGTTATTAACTAATCAAGATCACAGTGCAGTCAGTTCTGTAAAGCCTGTTTACTGTTCTCTCTTTGTACGTGAGAGGAAAGATTACCCTTTACCCTGTAATTAATATGTTTTAAAGAATGGTCAAACGAGAGCCTGCATCAAAAAGAAAAATTATGTTCCAGACCAAAGTTCAGGATACCGTATATACCTGCGTCGAAAAGAAGACTCCGATTTGATTTATTAGAAAAGAAATGAGATAATGTTTGTACATATCTATGGATTTGAATTTATAAAGCCTTAGATCTGAAGAAATGCACTAGAACAGTAGACTAGATACACAGAGAGGTGCCTATATGTTTCTAAAACACCGAACAGATTGTAAACTAAATTTGCACTTCTGCTCTGCTCTGATAACCAGAATCCATGGTATGGGGCAGGCAGAGCGCAGGACAGCCACTCGGTCATTTTGTTTTAAAAATGTTCCTCCTCGTTGGGGTCCCAGTTTGAAATTCCCTGCCCACTCAATGCAGTGGGGGCTCCCCACTGCGACCCTCGTGCTGGGCAAGAACATCACCCCCCGCTGGCGGCGCTGACAAGCCACAGGGACAGCGCTGTGGTCCCCCGGCAGGGATTGTGTTTTTGTGTCGTTGCTGCCTTTCTCTGCAACGTACAGCACACAGTGCAATGCGGGATGAGACCCCCTCCCCCCCTCCCCACATAGATGTGCTCATTTACACAAAGAGTGGTGGGAGCGTGAGGCATGTTACCCCACCATGCTGCTGAAGCCAATGCCCTGAGTTCCTTCAGGAGCTCCTGTCTCCTGACCTTGTGACCTGTAGTGTGTCCAGAAAGAAGGAAGTCTGCTAACGCCGGTAACACAGCCTGCTGGTTCCAAAACCATGTGATTGTTCCCAGTCTCGAGCTTTGACAGGAGTCACACCCAACACTCTGGAAAAGCACTGTACTTTTTTTTGCAGATGTTTGAGTGTATATATGTGTATATATTGCCCCCGTATACAGTAAGAGTCCAGGAATAAATTAGCCTTAATTCCAGAATGGAATAGTGACGGATTACGGACAGGGTGGAAGTGGCGATTGGATCTGACTGGGAGAGACTGGGCGGCTGTGCAGGGGGCAGCCTCTCCTGCCCCCGGCCCTGACTGGGTCCTCTGCTGTCGCTGCGCTGTCTGTGGGCGGCACCGGCCCATCAGCCGTTAATCAGCGTTACTCAGCAGGGCCATGAGGAAGGACAATCAGAGACTGGCCAGGCCAGCAGCGGCAGAGGCCCGGCGCTCATGCACAGAGAGAGACACTGCAGATATTTTTAAAAAGAAGTGAAGTATTGTTTTTTAACGAGAGATTTGTGGGTTTTTTTTTACAAAATAACAAGCACAAAGGTTTTGGGGTGGGGTGGGGGGTGCAGGCCACACGGAGGTATATACGGTAACTGAGTGCCCTGTCTCTGCTTTGGCGTGAAGAGCTCGTTCTACACGGGGACATAGAGTGATGTCGCTTCTTCCCGAGTTTTCCCTGGGAGAGGGGGCGGATGCAATCCGACTGGATCAGCTCCAGCTCTTCCGTGCTGTGGCGAGGGGGGGGTGGGGGGGTGGCGAGGGATGGACCGATGGACAGGCAGACAAGATGGGCCTGTCTTATATTCGAAAGAAGCTCTTCGGGTCCCAGGCTTGAATCAATTCCTTGAATCTGATCCTGAGGTCGTGTGAAAGAGCAGTTCGCCCTTCTCATAGTCTGGGACGCCCAGGGCAGTGATGAGCAAGTTCAGTCCCGGCAGTGCTGAAGTCCTGCAGGTGACAGGACCTTGTCCGCCACCAGCATAATAGTGGCTTCAGATTATTATCTACTGTAATGAATTAACTCAAATAAGCAATGAAATCCAGAGCTGGGCGGGCGTTGCACCGACCTGGAGCCAGAGCAATAAGATTCTTTTATACCCCCAGCCGAGTGACATTGCACAGGGCCATTCGCCAGTTGTCAATCGCTCTGCAAACTAGCTGAAGCTTACTGGAGCCCAAGACCTTAGAGGAAGAAAGGAAACTGGCCTGGCTGGGATGGAATCGGACCCAGTCCCTGCCCTAAGCTGGGAAAGGTCTTGGAATTTGTGATGTGTTTTTTTTTTCCGATTTGGGGTAACTCTTGTCTGCCTGTCTGTGCCGTCTTGTGCGCCCGGTGGGAGCCGTGGAGCTCAGGCCTGGCCAGTGTTGAATGTAAATGATGGATTTCGAAATGATCTCTGCAAACTGCTGTAATGAAAAGAGAAAAGAGATAATGACATAGATATATATATATTAATACAAATTAAGCTTGATATTTTGTAAGTTTACAATCTTATGTGAATGGATATATGGCGTTTTCTGTTTTCTTTATTTTAAAAAAAATCTTTTTTGATGTTCTGTTGTGAGCCAGGACAGAGGTCAAAGGTGAAAGTTGATATCCTTTCTTTTTTAAAACCAGAAAAAAACTTTGTAGTAAAAAAGAAATCTTTTTTAATGTAATTGTTTTTAGTTCTTTGATTTTATTTGGAGGGGATACTTTAACGATTGTGTTAAATGGACGCACCAGTCTTAAGATATTTATGCAGAAAAATGAAAAATATATATGTTCAAAATGTTTGATTGTTTTTTTTATATACACATAACTCTTAAAACACCATGGTTCTAACAATGCATATACACATGG